AAAAAAAAGGAAAAACCACTGAATTGAAAAAACAATAAGAACATGCTCCGTCTTTTATTTTATTCTTATTTAAATTTGACAAACCCCTGTGATCTCCTGCGCTCCAACGCAAAAAAAAATTTAAGTTACATTGTTAACCCTCAACATTATATCCGCAATGAGCCTATTGGCAAATCCTTGTACACCAATTTTCAGCATCTTAAAGAAAAATGCAGAAACAAGCGCTTATTTGATACAAACAATCGATTCTTTTCAAAATGCCTATCGTATTTGGAATCAGCGTATTCCCAAACACCTGTTCGCTAATTTCCAGTAACCTAAAGCAGAAAGCGTGAAAATCAATTATTTTTTGAGCAGAGCGGTCTAGTTTCTAGCGTGCAATTGTATGTATGCAGCCAATCTCAACAATTTCCACATTTATTGCAGACATGATAGAGCCGCTATACTCTGCTGATTCGGCTGTAAAGCCAGTAAACCCACAGGTTGGCTCTGCTGCCCAATATGAGTAAGTAAATTTTACTTTGAGCCCTCGAATTATACCCAATTAACATTTTAGAGTAGATCAAGCTGAAGTTGTCATGATGCCACGCATCGCAGGCGAAGAATTTGATGATTTATCATTAGATGACGTTGAGGCGAGACTATTACCAAGAGGTAAACGTATCTCAAATGATTTCACATTTAAGCTGCCTATTATACACTATTATAGGAATATCTGTTGTTTCTGTAAATCGACATTGTGGTAGCCGTGCAAGCTTGACGAGCAGGAAAAGCGTTTTGGACTCCCTTCGAAAACAATTTAGCCGGTCAGTTCTGTTTCTTAATCCAAATCTGCTTCCTAAGCACATATCATATTCATCACGTTTGATTTAAACAAAATGTAAATTTGCCATTTAATGTAGTCACAGCCTCTTTATCAATCGCGATTTAGCGCCTAATTTTGAAAAAAATCTAAAATATTTAATCAAGAGTTTCACCAATCTTTTATTAATAAGCCAATTACTAAATACGCAATATCTGAAGAATAATTTGTGAAAGCCTTCTTCTTAACGACAGGCTTGCTTCTGAAGTATGATGGGAGACCGAAATTTCAAAGGTTTGTTCCTCCAAAAATACAGTACTGTTGCTACGTCTCCAGAAAAGATAGAGGCATCGAAAGCGCTGCTTTGTCATAACTCTGTTCAAATACCATTTCACAAAACAGCTATTCAATCCGTACAAAAAAGATTTAATTTTTCTAGATATAGAAGTTTCT